ATAATGTATAAACAAACATATTTAAAAAATTTTAAGGTATTTTTTCATCTTTGAATTCTATTAACCACTACCTTAAATCTGCATTTCTTTCAGCTTTTAAATTTAAGTCCTTGCACAAGTGTAGTCATTTAAAGTTCCTACTTCTTATTGCTCTATGTTTTATTCTACTATTATATTCATAATTTCTAATCATACTTCTGATGAATTTACTATAAAAGCTTTATTTTTTCTCCTTAGTACATGATTTGTTATTTATTATAAATAGATTTTATTTTAAAATCTTCGGCAGCTCATTTTTTCATTTTTTAGTGCATTTGGAACTTTCCAAACATACTGGTAGAGAGTTCAGCGTAAGCCTTAGTAGAAATTTGTTGTCAGTCTTAACACTTGGTAATTTATCTTAAACATAAAATGTTTTACAAAATTATGGTTGACAAGGTGCTTTACGTATTACAAAGTGCTTTACGTGCTTATAATCTTTGTTTTGTGAGTCACTTATAAGCATTAAAAAATTAAGTACGTTCATTACCTTTTTATACACTTTTCTTGAAATGTTGTAACATCGATATACTGTAATTATGATAGACAAAACAGTAAAACTATATTTTTTTTTTTTTCTGCATTACTCCTTCATCTATTCTAATTATTTTGCCTAATGTCGTATTAAAACTATCAATGGCCATCTCATGCCGCACGTCAACACCCACTTATGGTGCCTAAGGAATAGTGCATGGTAACCTGTACTTGTTTGTGATAATCAATTAATGAATTTAATTCTCATTAAAAGAAGTCAATGAGTATCAAGAGAAATTTAGTTGCTTTATAAAAGATACTTTTAATCAGTGGATTTTCACTTGTGATCGATTCGTCAATTTTCCTAAAAAACTCGAAAAGTACACCATCTTGTAAAGATTTTGCAGTTGAACCTTTTGAATTAAATCTCTTAATTACAAGTTTCTGTATGAAGAGCTTTATAATTGTTGTTATTAGTCCTGTTATTACTAATGTATACATACAACGATCAAAATGATCACCACATATAATTGGTCTTTTGCGTTGGTAAAAAAATTAATTTTAAGGATAATCTAAGCGATGAGCAATTTATTAAAATTTTATATTATACTTCTCTGTAGAATAGAATTTTTAAACAGAATTTTTACAAAAAATACACTTTTCATTACAGTGGTTGGACTTGTTTGCTACTGTTTAGTGAGCAATCCTGATGAAGTCATTTTTCGTGACCAGCTTATAAGCAACACTTTGAAATTAGTACTTATTAGTGAAGAAGTGAGGAATCCAATAAGTGCATCTTATTTAAAGTGGCTGCAACAAAATCTAAATGAAGGACTTATTAAAAGACTAAATTTGGGAATAATATCGTTTCTTTGGCTGGACAATTATGATAGTAAGTGTGTGGCTTACAAAGCCACATGCCAATACCTTAAACCTGAGTACTCAACTTGGAATAGGAGAGTTATTGACGTCGGTTTCTTAAATAATTGGTGGATATTAAACAATAGCATGAAAGATTATGACATAAATTATCAATTTTTACAAACTAACACATTATAAAGATTACTTATTCATTAGAATATGTTTGACTACATACTGTTGTATTAAGATAATGACAGTAAGATAAATATAAACACACAAAACTATTATGAAGATTATTTTATCTAATAAAATGTATTTCATGATAAACTCTTGCATTATGATTTCATTTTTAATGTGAACTTATGTTATTTCTACAGAGAATACTACTCATAACGTCATGTGTATTTAGCAAGTTTGCGTAGAAGTGCGTTATTATTCCTTATCTCAGAACAAATATTGACATTATTTATAAGGGTATAATTTCACCTGTTACACTAGGCAAACTTATAATGCATTTTTTGCATTGTAAAGCATCTCACCAGGGCTTACTTCTAAAAAAGTTATAAGATTAATTCCGTTGTCAGGATGAATACCTTTAAAATTAAAAACTCCGTTGATTGTTTAAATAATATATTTCTGTAAACATTCATTAATTATTTTCCATTTATGTCCATTCAGTGGAAACTACGAAAAATTTACAAAAACTTTTTTTCAAGAGTAATGGAAAAATAACTTAACCCTATGAAATATCTTTAGAATTGAAACAAGAAGATAGTCCTATGCTATTCTTTTTTATTTTTGTGTTATTACCAGTAATACATTTTTAAAGACCCTTAAACTATAAAAGCTATAGAAAAAACTTCGAATTACTAACTACTCTTATTTTTTGGTCTAAGATAAATACAAGCTCCCTAAATTCTAATGAATTTTTTTTTTAACTTTTTTTAATCATCATAGAAAATCTTTCCCTATTTAGATATTAATGCAAATAAAGATGTTTATAATTTCAAAGCACCGAAAAGATTATATTCTCGTTCAATATTTATTCGGTACAAACAATATAATCTTTTATTGCTACAATCATTAACAACCTCCTCTGTTCTTTTATTTATTTCCAAACAAAAACATTTAGAAGTACCTTAAAAGTGGTAACAGGTGAATAGAGCAAACTATTACAAATTGAATCTGTCGTAAAAAAAATTTTTCAACAATTTATTTTAAAATACCAGATTTTTCGATGCCAGCCTGTTTAAAACGATATTCTTAGTAGTTCTAACTGTTACAGAGTACACGGAAAGATCGAGTTCATTGAAAATCCCCTACTACACTTAGTTATGAATTTTTCATAGCTTGGTACGGTTTTTTCCCATACCACATCTGTCTAAAACCTACGCTCAAAAATGTTAGCCATGTAAAATCTCCTTCTACTGTTAGGTAAGTTTATATAAACACTAGGTACGGTATTATCTCATGTAAATAAATAAGTTATTGAATAATTTTATTCACATGGAAAAATATTAGTAAGATGTTGTGATTTCCAACTCACTAAAATATTTTATTAAAGTCATCCATGATTTACTTTGAGATTACTTTTGATATTTATAGTAACAGCATTAAAGATTCATCACTGCACCAGTATGCTAATTAACTGTCACTTATTTTTTTAATGCTGGTACATACATTTATTACAATAAAAATAACATTACAATGAATATGAATAATTTTTAATTATAATTTTTAATACACCTGCAGGTATATTGAAAATGCATACCGCAAGAAAAAATATAGTGCTCTGCGCACTATAGTACGTTGTAAACACCTACTGGATACATCTATTTTTCATAGCTACTGTTGGTACGGAAAAAAACCGTACTACCGTCACTAAATACTTGTAGTGATATCTTAAAACCTATATACTTGGTACGAAATTTAAGACCATTTAAGGTGACACTAAAAATTCTTGTATTAGTAAGCAATATAACGTTGGTTTAGTATTTCTTACGATCAAATATTGTAGTAGGGGATTTTCAATGAACTCGGTCTTTCCGTGTATCGTTTGGTGTGAATGTATAACTGCATAGCAATGAACTTTTTGTCGATCAGTAGCACAGCTGTACAACTGTAGGAACTAACCAGTGGCGTAATAATGTTACTGAAAATCGCCCAGTCTCTAATACGTACTGCTGTCACAACACAAGGTATCTTTATAAGTGTAAAACCTCAACTATATTACCAAAAAACACGTTATCGTTAGTCCCTCATTTCATACCTCCTTCGTGTCGTAAAATTTATAATTACCCCTAGTTAACACTCTGCAAAGTCTTTAACCTGATATAATCAAGCAATCATAACAACTAGAAATTTCTTTAAGAACTAAATAACATAATTTGATGCAACTTAAGAACACTGTTTGCTAATAATTATTGTCGTGGATAATAGAACATTAGAAAGTATTATATATACCAGTGATTTTCTAAGAATTTACTAACGTGTAACGTAGATCCCAGTTAAAGAGAATCAATATAGTATTCAACCATCACACAGCATGACCATAATTATTAGCAAACAGTTTTCTTAAGTTGTAATAAATTGTCTCGTTTCGGAAGTTTTAAGATTGTAATAAATTGTCTTTTAAGCTAGCAGTTACGGAAATCTTCACTTTCTATGGTTGCTTAATTGTAGTAAAGTGACGATTTAGTAGCATGTTAAGTAATATGGTTAATAATTTAACTCAAAGAAACTAATGAAAAATTAGCAAAACGTGTTATTTGGTAATATAATCACGTTTTGGTACTGACATGGATACCTTATGCAGTGACAGTTCTTCGTGTATCAGTGACTGTACGCTTTGCTACAACGTTAGTGTACCATAAGTTGATTGCTACAATCATTCTGCTGTGCTACTTGCTAACAAAAATCTTTTTCCTATGCAGTTTTTTATTTATACTAAACCATACTCTGTGGAAGCTGAAAAAAAATTGTTTCGAAGGGGCTGCAATTGAACTATCTTGTAATAGGTATTATTTTTAAAACAAAATTTTAAAAATAATTATTTTAAAATGGATTTAAACTTAACTACTCTACACGCTGAGAACCACTGACAAAAAAATTTTAAATGTGCCTATAGATGTTTTGCATTTAGTTTTGGTACGTTAAGAATTGAAATTACATATTTCTACCTTTGTAAGAAACGATTGTTGAAGTATAAAGAAACCAAGTATGGGTCTCGGGACCCCCGGCAGAAGTAAAACTTCCAACTCAAATATTATTAAACTTGGTATTACAGAAACTGAGAAAATTAGATTACACCTTATTTTAACTGGTCTTTAGAAATCCAATATTAAAGTAGTAAAAATTTCATTATTACTAGGTATTCGAGTACGCGCGTGCATCAAATATATATACTCATCATATACTACTTGTGTTAAACGCGATTCGCGCATTGTAAGTACTTCCATGTTTGCTACGATGTATGTATTAATACATGTATGTTGGTCATGTAATTGAAGGGTTTTGGGTGAGAAAAATGAGAAAACGACTTTATAGATTTAATTTTCACAAAATGATTTATGAAACTGACTTGACAAAAACTAACTGACGACTGCCTAACAGACTTTCAATATGCACAGACTTATAGAATACAAAGGAGAGCTAAATGTTATACGTATGCACTTGACTACGGTCAAATCAGAACTGGCTCACCCCTGACTGGCGCTATACGTGCTTCTCCTATAACACATACACACATACGCTTGCGCAGACGCGCATGCTTACAGCCTATCGATACAGTCGTGCACTTCAACACTCCCTCCCGACTTGAGAAAGCTAAAGAGTTATAAAAATAAAAAATAGATATAATTTTAAGCCACACAGTATTAATATTTCAGTATCGATTTTCATGGTGCTAGTAACAAGGGTCGAACAGGCCAGGGATCATGGTCGTGCGATGAGCACCTTACTTCTTGTCTGAAACAGAATGTATCATAATTATTATTTATTTTAATTACAAACTTCATTAAAGATATGATTTCTGAATTTTTCGTGGAGCTCGATAGGCAAGGGTTTCGTAAAAATGTCTGCCGTCTGTTCTTTGGTACTCAACCACCTTACATTTACTCTGCCATAAGTCACACATTCTTTGACATAATGTTCGTGAATTTCTGCCATATGCCTCAATTTCCCGCTTCCACTTATTTTTTAATTTAATTCCGCTGCCTTATTATCGCACCATAGGTCAGCTGGACAAAAGGTTTTGTTAAGGATGATTTTGAGACAATTGTCTACTGCCATCAATTCTCTACATGCTTCACTTAGTGCCACGTATTCAGTCTGACATGTTGACAATGCTACCTAAGTCTGCTTGTGAGTTCTCCAGGCTACAGAGTCTCCGAAGAGTTTGATGACATACCCACTCGTAGTAAGAGAGCCCTTGCAGTTACCAAAACTGGCATCCGAAAATGCTTCTAAGTTGTCCTGCCTTCATAAGAACTTTAGACCAAAAGATTTAGTGCCTGCCAAGTACCAGAATACTCTTTTGACCATGTTCCAATCTTCATAAGTTGGATTTATCCGATGTCGACTGAGTACATTTACAGCATAGCTGATGTCTGGACGTACAGTGTTAGCTACGTATAATAAACAGCCCACAGCCTCTCGGTAGGGAACATTTTCTGTCAATTTTGTCTCCTTTAAATCATCCAGCCTTTCAGATTGTTCTCTTTGTTTCCTTTGTTGATTCAACACATATCCAGTGACCATGGGAGTTTTAACAGGTTTTGAATTTTCAAATCCAAATTTAGCCAAAATTTTATTTATATAATAAGTCTGAGTCAAGGTTAGGACCTGCCTCTCCCTGTCTCTTCTGACTTCGATACCTAGGAAAGCTTCTACTTCACTGAGATCCGTCATCTCAAATTTGCTTAGCAGACTTTCTTTAACAAACTTTAACCGATTTGGATCATTACTTGCAATTATCATATCATCAACATATACAACTAAAATTAGAATTTTGTCTGCCTCGTGCCAAGTAAACAGGCATGGTTCTAAAATATGTGACTTGAAACCTATTTTAATAGCTGCTTTTGAAAATCTTTCATGCCATTTTTTAAGACTGACCTTTAGCCCGTACAAGGCTCTTTGCAGCTCGCAGACTTTATTCTGATGTTCTTAATCTGTGCAGTTCAAACCTTCTGGTATCTCCACATGTATTTCATCATCAAGAGTACCATTCAAGAAAACTGTTTTTACGTCTAGCTGTCATGTATTTAGATTTAGTTTAT